TCATATTCTTCATCGTCTTATCTGACGATTGAAAATTAGAAAGGTGTTTGAGAAGTCAAAAAAACGTGTGTGAATAGCACACCCCAAAAAATATTTGTTTCAAGAAATAAATATTTAAAAAATAAGTGGGTTGAACTTGAATTGTTAATAATAAAATAATAAAATTTATTAAAATAATTTTTTTTTAAATTTGCTTTTGGTAAGAATTGTACCTAAGACCTCTCACTATCAAATTCGCCTTTGGGTGATGTGTCATGTTATGAATCGTTGAATTACGACAGAGATTAGAGAAATGCAGGTAAATGTGCAAGGACTAAGGGGTGTATTCAATTGGGGTTTTGAGGGATTTTAATTCTTTTAATGAATCTAGGGGTATTCAATCAGGAATTTAAGTGATTCTCTGAAACTCTATGTGTATTCAATCAGTGACACACCCCGTCCCGAAGGAGGGCATGCTGGCCGTCACGTGAGAGTGACGTAACCATTTACACAGTTCGGAAGCTTTTAAAATACAATTACTAAAGTGGAAACCCCCGAGGGTGAGTCCTACTTTTGTGAATTCTGTCAGAACGCCGTTGGGTTCCTCGTGGCCACCAAAGCTCTGCTAACTTGAACCTGGAGGGGCGAAAAACAAGTTGAGTGGGTCAGTAAAACCAAAGCTTTTCAAAAACATTTCGCCAAAAATAATTCTAACCCCTCTCTGTAAAACCTGTATACTTTTCCCAGAAAGTAACATAATAGTATAAAAAAAATATCTTCATATCTCAAATCATCAATCTACATCAAAATCCAGAAATCATGCCATGCCATAAAGTCAAAACAGAATATGGATGCATCAATATAACAGGTGAAATAATAAATCAACCGGAGACCCTACAATGGTCCTGTACGACTGATTCTAAAGCTCAACATCCCACTTAGCCGAAGTCACCACAGTGACCTATACGGCCCTGCCGGAGTCACCAACTGTGACCTGTACGGCACTACACTGCACATCACTCGGAACTACGTATAGTAGTCTGTACGATGAAAGGTGTATAAATACGCTCTAGTGCTTCTCTCATCAATCATCAACGCGCATAACTAAGGTCACCCACTAGTCGGAATCACATCTGGTGATCTATACGACTAGCATGTCGGAACCCTCACATGGTCTGTACGACATCCACCTAATTGGATCCAAGACGAGCGTGCGGTGTGGTGAATAATAATATAAGCACTAACACCTAGGGTGCAGGTTATGAGCTTTCAATGCAATTTTCATAAATAAATCGTATGAATAATGTAAAAACTCACTTGTGCGTCCACATCGTCAATTCACATATATATGTATCAATTATTAATTCAAATATCTCATCAATTGCATGCATGGCATTTAAACACATACTTTCATTAAAACTCAATTTCTGGGAAAATTCAATAGCATATAGGTATAAATAGAAAATACTGCCCACTCACCTGGAGTTCGCCCTACAACTCCCTAGCACAATACACCAAGGCGTCATGACGATCGGCGCCTAAAACAATAATCAAATCCAACCTCAGAATTCATATCGATAGAATATATAACTTATATAAAATACGTCACTACGTCGTTCGATCCGGAAGATCTGCCACTCAGATTTTAAATCCACAACTTCCAGAGGTCCACAATATATCTCTAGGACAACATCATAAAATTTCATTACCATCCAACGGTCGGATCTCCGTCAATTAACAAAACTAAGTGACGGTTAACATTCTATATTATGGACTTACAACTCCAATTCCGGAAGATCCGTAAATCGGATTCCCAATCCGTAAGTTCCCATAATCCTCAAATATTACGTATTACAACGCATCAAAGTTTGGTGACGATCCAACGATCGGATCGTCAATTCACATTTTCACCTAATGCGAAACTATAAAACGTTATTTAAAGCACCTAACCAACAATTCTTAATAACTTCTCATACGGTGCTCAATTTGGATATATGAATATACCACATTGACTTACTCGACGTCACGGACGTCGACAAATTTTTAAAATAATTTTTTGATGTGGCACGCGCCCCCACGCGCCAGGGAAGGCACGGGTCCACGCGCACCTTCTTCCTCGCGAGCTCGCCGGACTGGTTTTTCTGGTGGCCGGAAAACTGGGCAATTTTCAATTGCCTTGTTCTCCTTCGTTTCTCAACCATTTTCTTCGTATAATATATCAATTTGAAGCCCTCAACATGTAGAATCACAATAGACTAGTTTCAAGGTCTAAAAATCACGAAATCTCACCGGAAAAATTCCAAGAAAACCGGCCAAAGTTGAACCCAGTGATCCCGACGTCCAAAACCTTCAAACGAAGCACTCCGAGCTTTCTTGGGACCTCACTAAGCTCACTACAAGCTTAGAATTCCCTGAAAATCAAGAATTTACATGTGCATGAACAGTATCATAAAATGGGAGTTCGGGTTTCACGTGATTCCGAGGGTTTCACTTCCTAAAACTAGTACCATTCAACTCAGAACATCAAAAGGATGAAGAATCATACCTTATTTGCCTCGATCTGTGAAGTTTAGAGGGTTCTTGGGTGAGGCCGTACAATTCGAGAGTGAGAGAGAGAGAGAGAAGTCGACGGGGAAGAGAGAGAGACACGGGGGAAAGAGAGAGGGATGAGGTGTATGTGTGTGGTCCAACCACAATCAAAAATCTATTTCTTACCACACAAAACACAAACTAAAATTTAATCTACATAAATATAATTTCCAAAAGTTTATGAGATGTGTGCGTTTAGTCCAAAATATATCACACACACACACCTACCTTAGTCACGTTAAGGTCATTTCCGTCATTTCACATTCCTGATATAGAAATCCCGGGACGGGCTGTGACAATCAGGATTTTAAAATAGTTTATTAAAATCCTTAGAAATCCGGGTGTATTCAATTAGAATTTTAAAGAAGTTTATAACATTCCAAGTGTATTCAATTAGAATTTGATTTTTAAGAATTTGAAAAAGTTAAGGAATTTGAGGGAATTTGAGAGATTTTGTAGTGGATTTTAAGCATCTACAAATTTCACCTCTTCCCAAGAGATTTTCAGGGAATTGAATCAAAGTTTTACACGGAATCTCTACAAATCAATTAGGGTCTGTTTGGTATCTTATTTGAAATTTTTTATCATTTATCAAACCATTTCTTAAGAACATTTCTTGAAAACAATTTTCTTTAAGACTCAAAAATTTGATTGGTTTGCGATTTAAAATTTTTAATTCTTACGACTTAAACGTGATTGAATTGAAGTAGAGACGAAAAAGGTAAAAAAAAAAAAGAGGAGAAAGAAATAAGAAAAGAGAGATATATTTGGAGTGAGAGGGGAGGAGAAAGAGAAAATAAATTAGTGAGTTTAAGTTTAAAAACTCTAAAAACTTACTTTTTATGTTTTTTAAAGAATAAACTATATTTTTTAGTTATTCTTAAGTTCAGTTTTTTAAAATAGTCATACCAAACAAGTTTTTAAGACCTAAAACTTGAAAACTGTTTTTGAGTTTAAAAAATTAGATTCAAGTACACTACAAAACAGGCCCTTAGACTCTATAAAAATTCATTAAAATCTCTCAAATTCTCAATTAAATACACCTCCTAAATGTAAAGACTTGGGATCCTTAAAATGGTACCCTTCAACTGAAAACATAAAAAGGAAAAGAAAAAGTTGTTGCTACAACTGCAAAAGAGTTAACGAGGCATATGAAATTTTGTACCGTTTTGTTCTGAAAAAGCTAGCAATGGCAGGATCCTTCCCCTCTTTCATGTCCCTCATGGTTACTAGTTCTCCAGATCTCTTTCATTAAAGTCACCAGATCAAGTGATCCAGGCTTTCCAAATTTCATCAAACGGTAAAAAATTATCACAATTTTTAAGGAATCATAACAGTAGACCGTTGAATGAAATTTGGAAGGTCCAGATCACTTGATCCGGTGACCTTGGTGGAAGAGATCCGGATAGGATCTCTTTCCCTTTGTCAAGCACTCCATTTTACTGCTATGTCAGGTGCATCTTCAACTGTGTTTAATTTAGGTGCCATTGGATTTGCATATATTGCTTTCGGAATCAATATTATAACTTCCTCTCTCATTGACGCCACTTGATGCTTCGGAATTCGAAGCAACGTCTCGTTGATGATGGCCTTTTTATCCTTGATACCGTTATCTGATATGAACACGGAGTATTGAGATGGAGTGTAGAGAAAATGCCACAAGTAAAAGGAGATGTTGTAAAACAACTAAAACTTTATTTTAAAGAGAGAAATTTAAAAAATTCATCTTCAAGAAATTGTTGTAAAAGATTCTCTATTATAGCAAAATGACTAGTTACACTCTAAATTTAGAGAGTTACGGTTTACTTGTTAAATATTAAAAAAAAAACTTGTGGATAGTGGTTGAAATTTCTTTGATGGTCGATATTTCGGAAAAATTAGAGAAAGATATGTAAAGCCGGGTGAAGATATTGGATAAGCTGTTAAATGTCGTCTAATTGACAAATTTCCAATTGATCAGTTAATTATCGACAAATTTTCATATGACATTCCCTAAAGTTTCATTTTAAATTTTCATGCTTTAAGCAAATTTCTATCATTTTCGCCTAAGGCAACCGATATCGATATATCCATCGATAATTTCACAAATTTGCATATCGAATTTGATATTTTCACTGACTCCGATATTTTGAACACTAAGTATGATCCCTGAGCAAGGAGAAAAGTATAGATAGAACAATATTTAAAAAATGAATGGATTGAATTTGAATTGTTAATAATAAAATACTTAAAATTTATTAAAATAAAAAGTTAAACAAAGTATTTAGATTACTTGATAGAACAATGTTTTTTTCTACCCTTTCTTATTTCCAATATAACAAGTGAACAAACCATTAAATATTCAAGGGTATTTCAGTCAAAATATTGGGGACATTTTGGACCTGCACAAAATTCCAACCAAACCCACGTCAGCGCTTTGATTTTCCGTCCGTTTCCACACATCTGCTGCTGCTGCTTCTTCTTCGCTCGCCTTAATTTCGAACGAAATTACAAAAAAGGCAAAAAACGAGAGAGAGATGGCGAGAAGGCCGGACGAGGAATACGATTACTTGTTCAAAGTGGTACTAATCGGCGATTCTGGCGTTGGGAAATCGAACCTCCTCTCCCGATTCACTCGCAACGAGTTCTGTTTGGAGTCTAAGTCCACCATTGGCGTCGAATTTGCCACCAGGACTCTCCAGGTTCACCACCTCTCTCTCTCTCTTGCATATATATATATATATAGAGAAAGATTATACACACACCCAATTCTGTTTGTGTTTGTTACTGGACCGGAATTGATCTCATTTATTATGCTTGTTCTTAATGTTTTTTCAGTTAATTTGGATCTGTTTTTTTTTTTTTTTTTTGAGAAATGCATAATTGAACCGGAATTTGGATCGGTTTCCAATTTGTATAGTGCGAAATTGTTCCAGATCTGCTATTTTTCTTGGTTCCAGAATGGGGTTTGTTGAATTCTCGAGAACCGATTCAATTGGGTTTGTTCTTCACTCCCATAGAGTACCCGAATTTGTGATCTGATGACTTTTTTTTTTCCGAACACTAAGCATTCTGTTAAAAAAATTATAAAAATTAAGAAATGATACCTCGTGGGATTAGATGGATAGTTGCCAAATCCTTTTGCCTATAAGAGAAATCCAAATTTCGTAACTAGATACTAAAATCATCCCCGGCCATCTGGAATCGATTAGAGGTAGGCATAGGTGGATGAAGGGGTTTGCTCTTGCTTGCCCGCCTTAGACATTCACTTTGCCTTAAGATCCCAGGGAACTCATGTGAGGGGTTGGTCACAGCTTCCCAAGTTAGTTTCTTGGTTTTTTGTGGTGTTATAAATTAGACAAATTGGAAATCATTTGGCCATTTGATAACCATCATTGTCATTTGGCTTTTTAGCCAAAATGGTCCCTGAGATTTCCATAACACATAACTTTGGTCCCTGAGATTTAAAATCAATAGAAGTGGTCCCTGAGATTGTCCACCATCCATCATTTTGGTCCTTCCATTAAAAAACTCCGATAAGTGGTCACTGAGCTTTTTAACGGAATGACCAAAATGATGGATTGTGGACAATCTTAGGGATCAAAGTTATGTGTTATGCAAATCTCAGTGACCAAAATTATGTATTTTGCAAATCTCAGGGACCAAAGTAATGTGTTATAGCCTCAACTTAACGGAGTTTTTTAACGGAATGACCAAAATAATGGATAGTGGACAATCTCAGGAACCACTTCTATTGATTTTAAATCTCAAGGACCAAAGTTATGTGTTATGCAAATCTCATGGACCATTTTGACTAAAAATAGTTATCATTTCAATTTATCAGATCCATTGTGTTTGTATGCACAAGTTCGATGACTAACGGGTTCCAATTTGGCTAATTTTACCATAAATGATCCATGAAATGAACCTAAGAAATGGACCACGAGTTGAGGTGGCCAGAGGTTTGATGTCCTCATTTTTTCAATGATGTGGACGTATGTCGGTCCTTCCTTATATGTGGGTATGTATTAAACAGATTCACTTATAAGTTGCTCGAGTTGCTTGTGTTGGTGATTCCCCTTCTTACGTTTCCCCGACTTTTAACTCATGTTTTAAATTATGTCTGCGCTTGCTGAACTTACTGAATATTTTGGGTCAAGTTGTCCAAAGTTTAGATTGATCAGGTTTGTACAAGCAAAGTCTCACCTCTATCATCCACCACCTCATTGTCATTAGATCACATTTAAGACCTCCCTCGGTCGACAAGTCAATACTTTGTTTCCCACTTGAGTGGATGAATATTGTGTTGTTTAAGACCTCCTCTTCATTTTATCAGGTTGAGGGGAGAACTGTGAAAGCTCAGATATGGGACACAGCAGGACAGGAGCGATATAGAGCAATTACTAGCGCCTACTATAGAGGCGCCCTTGGAGCTTTACTTGTCTATGATGTAACAAAACCAACAACATTTGAGAACGTAAGCAGGTGGCTGAAGGAATTGAGAGACCATGCTGACGCAAACATTGTGATCATGATGATCGGGAACAAGACTGATCTGAAGCATCTACGTGCAGTTGCCACTGAAGATGCCCAGGGTTATGCCGAAAGGGAAGGCCTTTCATTCATTGAAACGTCCGCTCTTGAAGCAATCAACGTGGAGAAGGCTTTCCAGACAATTCTGGCAGAGATATACCGGATCATTAGTAAGAAGTCTCTCTCATCAGGCGAGCCAACAGCTGCAAGCGTCAAAGAAGGGAAGACTATTGCAGTCACTGGAGGATCAGAGGTCAATACAAAGAAGACTTGCTGTTCTTCAGCCTGAGGTTGATCAAAATGTGTTTGTCTTTTCATATTCCTTGCTGTCGTGGTTATTGTTTTCAACTTATTTTTGTTGTTTACTATGTCAAACTATAATTTATTTGTTCGTTGCCCGGGTTTTTCCTGTAAGGGTTATATTTATGAGATATATAACAGTGATGATTAGATGGATGATACACCTATAAGTAAGATGAAGCCTCGCAAGTTTTGAATTGTTATTGCAGAAATACTTAACAGGTCAGACCCAAAATTATTATTTTCTACCTATTTACAGGAAGCCTGCATTCGAAATTTCGAACTATTGCTATTAGAAACCATAACAAGACGTTATTTGAGGGAGTCATAGAGTATAGGCAAGGCTATGTCTATACTCTCGCTCCGTAGTCACGACAATAATATTTTGGGCGTGTACATTGAACCGAAAAATAGTTTGCAGTATTCGACCTTTTTTAAGAATTGGAAGCGTTATGCAAGAGGCTTATGGTTCAAGTAGTTCTTGTATTCAACCATTTCCCCAAATGTTTTGCTTTTAAAAGAAAAGTAAAATGGTACAACAAATTATTGAATTGATCTGAGATAGGTCGGTGCCATGTATGTTAGGTTAATAATTTTCCTCTTCCTATGGAACTCCCTCTTGAAAGAAACATTTCCAGAAACTTGAGTCTTATTTTCTCTCTTCTGGCAGCATTTCTCCTTTGAGTGGCATTTCCTCTTCTTCTTTTGTTTGTCGTTTCATCTTTGTAAACAAGAGAAAATAACGCCATACACAACCCCTTTTAGCCTCTATTTAAACCTTGAGGGTAGGCATGGTGCCACTGCACAAGGCACTCATACTTTCCCCCTATCTATAGAGCAAAGGATGAAAATGAAAAAACGAAATGGCATCAAACGGGCCCTTAGCGTTTTCTTCCTAAATTTTGCAGCTTCTATGAATTTTTTTTACTCAATATGTTGAACCGGAATCAGGTTCATTAATTTTTGAAAGTGTTAACGAAAAACCCACGGTACTGTTCACTTTAATGAAAAACCATATTTTTACACTAAAAAATCAATCATGATACTATTCACTTTACCATTTATTTTGTCCTTATCGTTAAAACTCAAAGTTTTCAAGTCATTTTCATTAGTTTTCCTTTAATTTTTTATCAGGTTTTGATTCACTTGAATTCAACAGTTTTCGTAATCCTGCAAGTTTGTTCTTTCAATCGTTGTAGAGAGTAATGCCGAACATCTAACAGAAGTTTGTTCTTTCAATCGTTGTAGAGAGTAATGCCGAACATCTAACAGAAGTTTGTTCTTTCAATCGTTGTAGAGAGTAATGCCGAACATCTAACAGGCCCAATTCCATTTTTCCCATAGGCAAGGATTCAAAGTAGGCAATATTTTACAAGTTTCTGAAAGATCCACATAACAATTCAGTCAACACAGTTCCACAGTTCTACGATTTTATAACAGATTTCTTACGAGGAACGGAATGGCTAACCGCAACAACTGCTGTTCTGCTGAATTGGCTGGCTCTTCATTTCAACAGTTCCGCTCGACCTGTTACCAGTTGGTTGGCTTCCCATTCTGCAAAATTTTAAAGGAAAACAATTACGAAGATACGAGATTACAAGCAAGTTATCCATCGACAAGAATAAACAGTAACAACAAAAAAACAACTGCAATTCAGTAAGATCAATTTAGGAACGTCTATAACAAGAAAGTCTTAAGCAAGTGATTAGAGCATGAAAGAGTTGATTAGTGGTTTTACTTTTTCTTTATCTCGGCTGCCATTGTTAAGAAAGCCTGCTCAACATTGATCGAGTCTTTAGCACTTGTCTCGAGGAAAGGGATCCCAAGCTCATCAGCAAAAGCCTACGGTGCATCAGCACAAACAAGAAACAAAAATTAAGCTACAGGAAGCAGTTATTAACAAAACATTGTTATTTACAGACAGCTTAATCGACAAAGATTGTATGTTCATCAATGGAAATCACTTTCTCCAACTCAACATTTTACGTGAATCATCCTGAAAGTCATGAGGAGCATTTTACCATAAATGTCTTCCCAAAAGCTCCAACCTGTTACACCGCTCTAATAATGCGAAGCACTCGGAGGTTCACTTCTTATTTTCAAAGAAGAATTTATATTATAGCATTATAATACGCAATAAACATAACCAGATTTGTAACCAGACGTGGGTGAATAAACATAACCGGAATATGGATTTTTTTTTTCCCTAATCTGGCAGTTGAGAACTGAAGCAAAAAAACAAACGTCAAATGTCGAATGAATATCAATGCCACAGAAAAGGCAACAAATGATACATACATACATCAACAACAACAACAACAACAAAGCTTTTTCCCACTAAGTGGGGTCGGCTATATGAATCCTAGAACGCCATTGCGCTCGGTTTTGTGTCATGTCCTCCGTTAGATCCAAGTACTCTAAGCCTTTTCTTAGAGTCTCTTCCAAAGTTTTCCTAGGTCTTCCTCTACCCCTTCGGCCCTGAACCTCTGTCCCGTAGTCACATCTTCGAACCGGAGCGTCAGTCGGCCTTCTTTGCACATGTCCAAATCCACCGGAACCGATTTTTCTCTCATCTTTCCTTCAATTTCGGCTACTCCTACTTTACCTCGGATATCCTCATTCCAATCTTATCCTTTCTCGTGTGCCCACACATCCCACGAAGCATCCTCATCTCCGCTACACCCATTTTGTGTACGTGTTGATGCTTTCACCGCCCAACATTCTGTGCCATACAACATCGCTGGCCTTATTGCCGTCCTATAAAATTTTCCCTTGAGCTTCAGTGGCCTACGACGGTCACACAACACGCCGGATGCACTCTTACACTTCATCCATCCAGCTTGTATTCTATGGTTGAGATCTCCATCTAATTCTCCGTTCTCTTGCAAGATAGATCCTAGGTAGCGAAAACGGTCGCTTTTTGTGATCTTCGCTAGATTGCTCCGGTCATTAGTGTGGATAAGTATATAAATGGATAGAGATAGGAAAGCAAAACACAAGATGTACGTGGTTCACCCAGATTGGCTACGTCCACGGAATAGAAGGAGTTCTCATTAATTGTGAAGGGTTTACACAAGTACATAGGTTCAAGCTCTCCTTTAGTGAGTACAAGTGAATGATTTAGTACAAATGACATTAGTACAAATGACATTAGGAAATATTGTGGGAGAATGATCTCGTAATCACGAAACTTCTAAGTACCGGAGTGTGGTATCGTCTTGACTTGCCTTATCTGTCTCATAGGTAGATGTGGCATCTTCTCTGGAAGTACTCTTCCTCCATCCAGGGGTGGTATCTTTAACTGGTGGAGATGCACAAGGTAATGTATCAATTTCACTTGAAGCTTACTTGTAGTTTCAGGCTTGGTCAAGCGCGATACAAACCATGTAGTAGGAGTCCCCCAAGTCGCCGAGCTAGGGGATCTGCTGAAAGAGGTGACAGACAAGGTAAGCAATCAGAGCTCCGGCTGATTGTTCACCTTCTCCCTATCTTGCAGGCAGCATGAAGGATAAAGAGAAGAAAAATGAGAAGAGATGATATGAGATACTTTTGCTTTTGAAGAAGTAACTTTCCACAGGCTTATTCTTGAACTGGGCTGGAGGGTTTTCTGGTTTCCTCCAGAGTATAAGGCCGACTGAAGAATTTGAGGGTCAAAACAAGTCCATCAAATCTAGAGTACGTTCGACCCTGCTGATATGGGATACTTTTGCTTTTGACAGAAGTAGTGGATGTATCGGCACGTGTGCTGTTACGCTTGTCTCCACATGCTTCCTTGTATCCTTCTCACTTGCCCTATCTGTTCCTCAGGCAGATGCGGTATCTTCCCTTCTCTGGAAGCATAAGATGTTGAAGATGAGTACTCGAGAGCAATGCCAGGTAAGTAATCAGGTAAGGGGTTCCAGGCAGTCAGTTCCTGGCTGGAAGCTTGATTCCAAGTGCTGACTGATTGCTCTCTTTCTCCTTGTCTTGCAGGTAAGAACAAGGCCAAAGGAAAAGACAGGGAAAAAGCATGATATGGGATACTCTTGCTTTTAACCCTGATGATATGAGATATTCTTGCTCTAGTATAGCTTGTTTGCAGAGGTATTATCGGGGGGAAAGAAAGCTGAATATTTCGAAAGGCTTCGTTGGGAGTGCCCTCTCAGATATGAGGAAGGGTTGAGCATTTTTGCAGGTCTGCCTGTCCGTTGGGGATGGAGGTCGACATATATAGGAGTCTCCCTAACAACAAGTAGTAATGCTATTCCTTTACCCTGCTTGGTCATAGCACGGTAGTGGGAGCTGCCAGCTTCACATGTTTTAACTCTGTCAGAGCACTTTGAAAAAGTGGTCTGTGGTATCTGGAAAGCTCTTCGAATTCGGAGAACGATGGCTTCTTCGATTTTTGATTTTAAAGCAATCCTGCTGGGGGTCTGGCTCTCGAGATTCGGAGAGCGGTGTCTCTTCGATTTTTGAGAAAGTAATCATGTTGGGAGTCTGGCTCTCGAGATTCGGAGGGCGGTGCCTCTTCGATTTTGGAGCAAGCAATCTTGTTGGGAGTGTTTTCTCGAATGTGAGTAAAGGTTGGGCATGTTTGCTAGTCTACCTTGCCACGAAGCACAGAGGTTGACACACAGGGACTTTCCAATTATCCAGCAGTGGTACTGTTTCCTTTACCCTTGTGGGTAATAATATGGTAGCTAGACCTTCAAAATTTATGTGTCTAAACTTTGTTAGTGCTGTTTCTTTGCTATTCTTTTACCCTTCTTGGTCAGAGCGATGTAGTGGGAGCTGCAAGCTTCACGTGTCTCAACTTTGTCAGAGAACTTTGGCAAAGTTATCTGTGGTACCCATGAGCTATTGTTGCGTGTGGGAAAGTGGGTGATTGAACAGTAAGATTCATGTGCTTTCTACTTCACCAGAAATCTTCGACAGAATGCCCATAATTTCCGCAAAGCTGAGTGTGCGTGTGACAGGTGCTGACAAGGCTGGAAAAGTAGGTGCCTCTTCGATTTCTGAGATCGGCCCTCGTGGTCTCTGAGCAGCCCAGCTTTTGAGAAAGCAAGCGCCTCTTCGATTTCTGAGATCGGCCTTCGTGGTCTTTGAGCAGCCCAGCTTTTGAGAAAGCAAACGCCTCTTCGATTTCTGAGATCGACCCTCGTGGTCTCTGAGCAGCCCAGCTTTTGAGAAAAGCAAACGCCTCTTCGATTTCTGAGCAG